TTTTGGGGGGTGGGGGGGTCCTAGGTGATATTAGGGGGTCTTGGAGACCACTGATGTCTCCATAATGAGGACCTGTCACATCTTTTGCTATCACATAAGGGGGTTTCTTAGCCCCCTATGTGGTAGCAATAAAGTTAAGTGAAAAAAATGTAAGTTTCCAAAAAATAATAATTTTAAGTTACACATAAAAAAGAAGAATTTTTTTTTTTAGTCCCCACTTATACATGCACGCATGCAAACATGCGTCGGGTGTGCATACCTATTTTTATGTAAGAATGCAGTCTCTAATTTGCCTCACATGGGTTCTCTCTCATTTAGGATATATAATTTCCCCTGAAGAAGCCCAGTGGGGCGAAACATGTCGGGTTTTATCTGAATGAGTCATCTTTATGTCCTATTTTAATAACAATTGTTGACTTGATGTGACATTTATACTGCATGTAAAATAGACCAACTACTTTTTAACTTTATTTATTTATAATTATGTAATAAATGAATTCATATTTTTATGCATTTAGAGAGTTTATAGTATTTCTTAAAAGCCCCTCCCCTTTCGGTAAGTGCATACCTTAAGGTGGAACCTACTCTTCGTATTCCTTTTAGTCAATAATTGTTTCCTAACATAATGTAAAAAAAAAAAAAATTCTAAATTTTCCCGAAATATAGTAAAAAATAACCCGCAGTGGTGATTAAATACCACCAAAAGAAAGCTCTATCTGTCTGCAAAAAATGGTATACAATTCATTTCAGTACAGCGCTGCATGACGGAATAAATGTCAGTCAAAGTACCGCAGCGCTGAATACTGAAAAATGGCCTGGCCAGGAAGGGGGTGTAACACTGCGGTCTTCAAGTGGTTAATCAATTCATTCATTCACAAAACAAACCTGACATTAGTCCTAAAAATTCCCTAATCTATCCAAGCCTAAAATGTATAGATATATTTTATTTGTTTTAATCTAAATGTATTTATTTATTTGTGAACAGAGCGGGGAAAGGCTATGTCAGGAAGTGACAGAACATCTCAGCGATGTAGAGGCAATCAGTAATGTTTGATAGAGGTTCTATCTGCTCCCTACACCATCCAAAAATATCTGAGGTTCTCCGCTAAACCTAAAAAGAGAACTATGGGGTAAGTGTTTTTCACCATAGTTCTCTTAGGGTCACGGGAGGACATACTGTATACTAACCTCCACCCGTGACCTTAAGCTCAGTATATAGCAAGCTATTGCCCGCGATATGCTGAGAGAGCCGCAGTTGTGACGGTTCCCAACAATACTGTTGAGATCCACCCAGCTGGCTGATTGACAGCAGGCTCTGCCTATCTAGAGGCAGAGCCAGCTGTGCCCGCCCCCCTCCCTCATTCGTTCCTCCGCTCACCTCTGGAGGTTCGGAAAGGGGAGCGGGGAATCCCTGCGGTGAGCGGTGACTGACAATCACCGCTCATTGCAGGGAGACGATTGGGAAGTGAGCGGATCGGCTGCATGTTTCTTCTATAGGAATTAATAGATTTGTATACATTGCACTATTAGAATGAAATGCTAAGAACAATTAAATGATATAATTGTTTTGTCTAGTATATGTAATGGAAATGTTCTTAGTTTTACATAAAATTAACAAAATGTCATAATAGAATCCATAATAAAAAAATAATAACAATACTTTAATTAAAAGAAAAGAAACCTAGCCCATAAGGTTGTAAATATTGTAGCCCATTGATTGAATAAGAAGAAAAGCCTTAGATATGCAAATGTACTCATTAGTTTCCTCTTTGGGTTATATTATGTAACAGTCTGGGAACAATTTCAGAGACTTTGGCATCAACTCAGAAAGTTATGAAAAGGAGCATAATGACTGAGAAATAAATAAATATAAATAAATAAAATAATTAAAAAACTCTACTATGTGCTGTAGTGCATTGTACTTGGTGAGAATTAAGTATTTGTAGTTTCCTCTTTGGGTTATATTATGTAACAGTCTGGGAACAATTTCAGAGACTTTGGCATCAACTCAGAAAGTTATGAAAAGGAGCATAATGACTGAGAAATAAATAAATATAAATAAATAAAATAATTAAAAAACTCTACTATGTGCTGTAGTGCATTGTACTTGGTGAGAATTAAGTATTTGAGCAGACACTATTTCCTTGCAGGGAGTGTTCCTGACCAGCCCCCCCGTCTTTCTGCAGTGTCATCCATATCGGAGGTAACCCATTAAATAGGAGCAGTGCAGCCTTCCTTTATCAGTCTCTTGCAGGACTTGACAAGAACATAGCCACAGTTCCGCCATCATGTCTTTCAACACTAATATGAGGTTAAAATTTCCCATACTGGCTATTGGACTTCAGATCATCCTAATTATTTTATTTGGGATATTTGTGCGATATGAAACTGACGACCATTCATCATCTCACAATGCCACAAACATTGATGAAACCTTCATTCATCTATATCCACGTAAGTAAAATAAAAACGATCTGCTTGATATTTTTATTTTTCCCGTTATTTAAATAAGTCTGTTAAACAAAAAACGAACATTTTACAGTTTTTGCAACTTTATCTAAAATATTGAGTTATTCAAAACAGGTAAATGCACAAAAAGTTACTTGAATTTAACTTTTATTGGTCATATATTATTAGTATTAGTATTAGTATTTAGTACCGGTAGTATTGATAGTATCAGTATTGTATTATTTCATTTTATTATTAATTCCATTATTAGTAATGCTCTTAACGTATTACTATTATTATTACTAATATAATTGTTGTCATTTTTTTTATTAATATTATTATTGCAGCAGTACTAGTAGTAGCAATAGTAGTAGTAGTAGTAGTAGTAGTAGTAGTGATAAAAGCAGTATTGTTTTATTATTAACATTACTGTTATTATTAATACTATCATCATTATTTGTTATTATTAATACTATTATCATTATTATTTGTGGTGGTAGTAATAGTAGTAGTATTGTTTTTATTAGTAGTAGTAGTAGTATTTGTGGAGGTAGTAATAGAGTAATAGTAGTAGTATTGTTTTTATTAGTAGTAGTAGTAGTAGAGTAGTAGTAGTATTTGTGGTGGTGGTAATAGTAGTAGTAGTAGTAGGAGTAATATTTGTGGTGGTGGTAATA